GATGATTACATATATATATATGTAATCTAAATATGTTATGTTATTATTTGTAATAAAACAAGGTAAGTTACACCGTTTCTGTATTCTTTAAATTTCAACTCATATTTTAATTGCCAAGGTCATCTCAAGCTCATTATATTATAGGTCATTGAACTCGTCTTGACGCAAAAAACAACAACATCGCACTATAAAAAAAATAAACGTTAATGTGCAAAAAAAATGTCGACGACCTTGAAAAAAATCACTGAAACAAACTCGGTAAAACAATTCTTTGTCGCCATCAGACGCACACATCGAACCATTTAAATACTAGTTTGTCATTTTTTTTCATATCATTCATCACCCTTTATGTTCTCTGTTCATTCAAGCTAACACCAGGGAACTCGAACATCGACGACTGTGCCTTCAACCCCGCCAACGTCAAGAAGAAAACATCGACGGCCTTAAACGTTTCCTCGACATTGCCGTGCCTAAAAATCGAGACTTCGCCGGCAACCGATGCGAAAACATCGAAGAACGATCCGTCGTCGGCGAAACAAAAACGGGCTATATTTCACAGCGGTGCGAACAGAGCGTTCCTCGATCCGATAAGAACCGAGTACAAATGGAGTTCGATGGTGGAGAAAGTAATGCCGGCCGTGAAAGCTGAGAAAGATACGCCGATTCCGAGCCAAGAAGCATCGGATGATGCACGAACCGATGACATTGTAATATCGGCCGGCACGCTGGAGAAAATTGCGACACTGAAGGTTATAGCAGAGGCAAGTTCGACGATCGACAAATGTGCCCGTATCGCTAAAATCGAAAATAAAGATTGTCCGTTGGTGGAGAATAAAGTATTGCAGAAGACGCGTGATGATAATAAGATGACGTTTTCAATAATTAGAAGAACCGTAACAGCGGATACGACAGTGGAGGATAAAGATGCCGCCATTTCGGTGAACGAAAGACATTCTACACCGAAGAAAATAGAATGTCAGAGGATCGACCAAAAGTCGAGGAGAACCAGCTCGGCTCCGCCGCAAAGGCACTTGGGAAATTTGTCGAACAATCGAGTTCAGGTGAACATCGTGATCGACACACCGAGCTCGTTAATTTCGGAGAAGCACAGCAACGATAAAGAGAAGATAGGCGCAGACAATAAAGATAACACGTCAGAAGGTGTCGACGTAACTTCCACGAAGGTATATAAATTGTTTCGCAAAAATCTGCTCTTAAGAATGATTTTTATCGATGTTCACGTCGACGAGATAGAAATAAAAGCTTTTGTTCGCTTTCGAATAGTGAGCATTTTTTTAGAAATCGAATATCAGACAAATGTTATCTATGATTGCACTATTCCAATCTGGTTGTTGCGATATTTTTTTTGTATTTAATAAATATGAATATTTCTCGTTACAAATTGATAAGAAAAGGTTCCATTCATGGAAAATTATTCTATCTATTATTATTATGTAATAGATAGAATAATTATTATATTGTTAGATTATTATTATAGAATAAAAAAAAATTATTATATTATTCTATCTATTTTCTTTTTTACTTTACTGCGTTATTGTTCATTAATACCGGTGTCGATCAGCTTCGGGGAATTACCGTCAATTGAAGCAGTATCAGTGATAACGAATATGACTGATTAAATGATAATAAATATTAGATCTGTGCAAAGATATTTGTGGTTTTATTTATTTGGAATATATTTCAAATTCATTTTCAAATTCAAAGTAAATTCTACATTTTTACTAATATTTAAACAGAAATCAAAAAAAGCTATACTTGTATATTTCTATTATCTGTTAATTGTAATATGGAAATACAGAAATATGGTATTTTTTTAAGCTTTTGTTTAAATGTCACAAAAAATGTAAACGTTACTTTAAATCCATAATTATTGACATCATTTTAAGAATTGATGACAAGAGGTTAGAATTATATTCCGACTTAAAACAACGGAATAATATTTATAGTATAAGTACAGTAAGAGATTAATGCTTGACTTGATTAATTAATTATTATATTTCAATATTTTATTCTGTATTATATTCTGTATAACTTCTTCCTAAAATTTCCATTCGCAATTCGTCCAACTGTAATCTATCGTATCGAATAATTTTCTGCCCTATGGGATCATA